TTTTTGTTTCCCTGGATGAAAACAGTCCTCAAAGGGAAACATTTTGCTGATGTGGAAGAGGTGAAACAAAAAATGGCAGAAGCACTAACAGGCATCAAAATTGATGAGTTCAAAAACCATTCTGAGCAGTGGAAAAAAGTCTTAATATGTATATTGCATCAAAAGGAGAGTACTTTGAAGGTATAAACATGTAAGAATAAATATACAATATTTTTTATAAATAACTTCTGGTTTTGGGGGGTTCCCCCTCTTAAAGCATAGGTTATTAGTAATCAGTATGTGTCATGCTTACCCTGGGTCAGTACCCTGCAGGAACTTAAGCAAAACAGCTCAGGTTAGCTCTGGCCCTACACAGTTAACCTCACAGCACATAAATTATCTTTGAATAGTGCTTTATAGTTTACAGAGTATTGGAAGATTTTTACCTCTTTGAACAAATGGATATTATCCTCCTCACCTGAGGAATGAAGAATATGAAGTTCAGAGTGTTTGTGACTTCCCCAAGGTGATACAGTGGTCAGCAGAGCCAGGACTCGACCCCAAATCCCACCTCCAACCAGACCATCCTGCTTTTCTTTCTGCTGCCACATACCCTCCCTCCCAACACATTATCTGCTTATCCTCAACATGTCCCATATCATTATTACCAGTGACGTCTTATTTCTATTAAAATTCACATCGCTTCTTTTAGGAAATGCTCATTGGTCCTTCACTTATCCAACAAGTTATTTATTTATTTATTTATATTTTTCTCTTTAAAAAAATTTTATTTTTAAATTACAGATGACATATAATACAGTGTAGGTTCAGATGTACATCATAGCGATTAGACAATTATATAACTTTCGAAGTGATTCCCTCCGAGAAGTCTAGTACCCACCTGGCACCACACATAATGATTACAATGTTATTGGCGATATTCCCTTTGCTGTACTTTACATCCCTGTGACTATTCTGTAACCACCAATTTGTATTTCTTAATTCCTTTACCTTTTTCACCCCTTCTCCTAACCTCCCTACCATTGGCAACCATCAATTTGTTCTTTGTATCTATGAGTTTGTTTACTTTGTTTTTTAGATTCCTCAAACAAGCAAAATCATATGGTATTTGTCTTTCTCTGGCTTATTTGACTTAGCATAATTACCCTCCTGTTGTAGTGGTGCCTCGATTGTTGTTGACACATAACCTCAGGCTGACTGGTTCTGAGGGCTGGCCACGACTCCAGTGGATGAGCTGTTGTCCAGTGGCTGACCCCAGCGAGCAAGAGCTGTTTTAGGGGGGCTCTGGTACCAATCAAGTCCACTCCTTGGGTATGTCATTTGTGGAGCTGGTTGGGTGGTGCTCTTTGGTGATCTGAAGATGGCCACCAGGTGTGTTGGGTCTGGAGCATCTTGGGAGGGGCTTCAGTGCAGGCCAAGGTCAAGGTCCATTTGTGCTGGGCTTGAGGTGGTTTGATAGGAGCTACAAAGTGATATGCTTCCAGTTGCTGAATGTGCTGGACTAGGAGATGTTTGTGTGTGTGTGTGTGGAGGGGGCTATGCTGTGAATTGAGGTCAGCTGGCACTCATACCTGGCTTGGAACCCTTTATTGGTCACTATGATATGACCTGAAGCCAGATGCTACTTGTGCAGGCTTGTGGCTACTTAGTTGAAACTATATTCCAGGTGAAGACCAGCTGCCACTTAGGTCAGGCTTGGGTACCTGATGGGATTTACAATGGAAATTGAGACTGCTCACCACTTATGCTGGGCTTGGGGCTGCTTAGCAAGAGCTACAGGGCACGTTGAGGCTGGCTGCTGCTTTTTTTGGGGTTTGTGGCCCTTGAGAGATTTTGGGAATACCCACAGCATGAGCTGAGACAGACTGCCTGCTGGAGGAGCAGCTGGAAGAGGCTGGGGGGAGAGGGTTGGGGGGAGGAAGTTGGGTGGGGCAGGGAATGAGGGAATCACCGGGGCAGGGCTAAAGGGGTTAGCCAAGCTGATGGAGAGTGGGTTGGAGCAATGGCACCTGCCAATTCTTCCCTCCCGAGTTGCCCCTGACTCCTGCCTGACCAATGGCTGTCCTGAAGTTAAGTCACTGTAGTTCCTCCCCGTTTGTCCCTGATGTTTTTTGAGATGCTGCCCCTGTGCTGAAACTCAGAGCAAGTGAGTTTGTGAGCAAGTTGAGTTCGTACATGGATCTGTCAAGAATGCCTGGGAACCCAGCAGCCCTCTCCATCTCAATTGGATGCAGTGCTGGCTGGCTTTCACAGCCAGATGTTATGGGACTTCTTTTCCTGGCACTTGTAAACAAAAGTCCAAAGATACCGTTTTTTAAAGAAATTTAAAAAGAGTTTATTCAGATAATGATTTGCAGACCGGGAAATGTAGTCCTCAGTATGAACCGACAAAACGTTCCAAAATGGAGGAGAAAGGGCATGATTTATAAAGGCAAAAGCTGCAAGGAGCTATTGATTAAAGATATGGGTTGCTAGGTAAACAAAACCATGAACTTACACCATTTGTCTTCTGATTGGTGGGGGCAATTGGACTTTCAATGGTTAGCTGATTTAGTGACCAAGCAAGTGGGGTTGTGAGGTGAGAACAACAGGTAATACACAGGGTCTGGCACAAATAACACCCTTTTTTATTACAAAAAACTGTAAGCATGTCCTTCTGTAACACAACAATATCATGCTCAAACACAGCATATGACATTTTAGGTGAAATGTTCAAATTAAAACTATAAATTATTACACCCATATTATTACCCTACCAACCACACTCAAGCAGGAGTTACTTCTGCCAAACCCTGTATGATTAAGCATTTATCAAGTCCTAGTTTCAGCTCAGGTCCGTAGAACAAAAAGGCTTTGATCACATAATCATAGTATAGGCAGCATTATTTAACAAAGACTTAAGGAGTACAATTTAACAAACAGGACAATCAGCACAGGGGGGCTATTGGTTTTGCAGGCAGTTTCAAAGCTCAAAAGGGCAAAGTTATGCTCTCAAACAGTTTCAGAGCCCATGCTGTAAAAATCCAAATATTGGGCCACAAATGATAAAATTAATTTTCTTGTGAATCCTCATACCTAATGCCCTGGCTTGAGGAGCCCCCTCATTTCTTGGCGCGAGGGGGTTAACCTCCGTAGCCAGTGTATCCCTCCTGATTCGTAATCACCACACTGTGTGTGTGAGGGACTTGCCCATTCTGTATCTCTGCCTCTGCTACCAGTCTCCATGTGGCTTCTTCTTTATATCCTTAGTTATAGAAATTCTGTTCAGCTGGTCTCCTGGCAGTTCTCAGTGATGGTTGTTCTGTAAGTTAGCTGTAATTTTGATGTGGTCATGGAAGGAAGCAAGCACATAATTTAACTACTCTGACATCTTGACTGGAAATCCCAACAAGTATTTATTGATTCTAATATTTCATTGAGTGTAAGACATTCATTGATTTAATAACAGATTTTCAGAAAAAATTACATTGTGTACAAAAATCCTGGAGCTAAAATATATTTTTCCCCCTGTTTGGACTTTGAAACACAGGATTGACAAAATGTATTTCTAATTTATGACATCATATATTTATTCTGACACAATGACCCACCACGTTGTTCTTCATTGGCACAATCTAAGTTTAAATTTAATCCATAGTCACCAAACTGTAAATATGCATTTAAATTCATCTTAGCTACTGGTAGTTGTTCACTACTTGCATTGGCACGCTTGTCAAAGACTCCACCTGTAATTTGAATTGTTTTAACAACTTTAAGATTGAAGGTATGATTTTAGGAATAGTTTTATATTAAGGGCGTTTAATTCCTGTCTGCTAGAAGTTAAGCAGCAGCTTTTGAAATCCAGCTGAAACCTATTAATACCATTGCCAAAAGATACATTTTGGGAGGTCTAGGATCATTTTCCCTCATGACTCATGAATGACTCACATCAACATCTCCAAGATTTGACCTGTTTTAGACACTTAGCAACTTCTACTGCCTTTGTCATTCCGTAGGCCCCCGTCTGCACACTCAACAACTTCCTAATTCAATGGTGAATTGTAGTATATTTTTTGTTTTTATTAACTATTTATTAGATAAAAATATTGTAAGTTATGTACAAAATATAAACAACAACAATTCAATAACTGTGTACCCATCATCCTTTTTAAGATGAACATTTCCATGATATTTGAAGGACCCTGTGTGCTCCTCCCCCATTCCATCCTCTTAACACTTAACATGAAGTTCTGTGCATCTTTTTCTCATGCTTTTTGTCAGGAGTCCTACCACTTATGTACACCTTTTTGATTCTGATTAGATTAGCATGTTTTGGAATTTTATATAATGGGATTATGCTGCAATGTGTCCTTTTGTGATTTGCTCCCCCAGCACCTTATGTCCTGTTGTGTCAGCTGTTTTCAGTAATTTTCACTGCGCCTTGGTATTTAATTATATATGGCTATACCAAAGTCTATTTTTACATTTCATTGTATGGGCATTTTCCCCCCTCAGTTCTTACTGATTACAAGTAGTATTGCTGTAAACATTATTAGGTCTACTCGTGCAGATGTACAAATGCTTCTCCAGTGTAATATATTCTTCAGGGAGGATGTGTATCTTCAAGTTTACTGGATAATGCCAAAACTAAACCAGGAGTCAGGGGACCCGAATTCTAGTACATCAACTCATATAGCCTTGAGTACTAGTATTTTACAAAGAGATAGTACCAGATTATACTTTAATCAGCAGTGATTAAAACAGAAACACACAGACACGCATGCACACACGCTATACTCCCACCCGGCACGCGTAACACACTAAACGCGTGCACAGATCCACACAAAGACCCACGTCCGTGAACCACACACGCAGATACACAAATGTACGTCATACACTCCACGTCTGTCAGCGCACAACGCACGTACTCACACCCAAACCCCAGACAGGACCCAATCAGGAAACGTGGTCTCCGCCTCCCGCAACAGAGGAAGCTTGTCCCGGCCGCGCTGCCGTTGGACGCCAGGTGTCGGAGGTCACGGCATCGCTGGCGGTAGCATTTTTTCTACCCGGAAACCACGGCTGCCGGACCCTGACTAACCCGTGTCGCGGCTGCGTGAGCTGGACTGGCCTCTGGTCCTCGCGTCGGCCCCGCGGAGCCGGACACTGCTCCCGGAGCGGCGGGGAGGATGGTGCCGAGCGGTCCCGGGCCCGCCGCTCGCCACCGCGAGTGAGCTCGGAGTGGCCACGGGCGTCCGCCGAGTAGCTGGCCGGGCTGGGCCCGGGGTGCGCCGCTGCCCGCTGGGGCGGGGTGAGCCGGGGCGCGTGGGCTGGGGTCTGGGATCAGCAGGGGCTGACCGCGGGGCCGGAAGGGGGCCGCGCTGGTTGGGGGCGGTGTTTCGGGTCCGGTTTCTTCATCGCCTCTCTGGGCTGCAGCCCCTGCTCCAGCTGCGAGTGGGGGTCGTCAGGCATTAGCCTTGCGCTGGTGATCTGGGCCTGGTCACCGGTCACCAGGGTGTGACTACCCCCATGCCGGGAGTAAGGGATCCCTGCCGGCCCTCGAGATGGCTGGACTTCCCACGTATGGAGCCGAGGCTTGGATTATTTGGGTTTGGCCTCGGGGGCATTTTGGTAGTTTGCCATTTTTTACTTTCGGTAGTGTTTACGTTGCTTCTACGTTTGCAAATTACATACATCTCAGAAAGAAGATGGGCGGTAGAGATCCATGTATATGCAGGAACTTAGAGTGAAATAGTGGTATTTTATGTGTCAAACTCGTTAATATTCAGAGATGGGTGGATTATTATCTTCACTTATATTGTCATAAAGGAAATTAAGGAGTGGCTTTAACACAATCTAGAGGCATTTAGTTCTAGTTCCCTGAATAGGCACCATCAGGAATAAAACTAGGCCTTCTGTGTTGTTTTGAATTGTGTGAACAACCATAACCGGTGGACAGCTGGTGAGGGGGCTTTTGCTGAAGAATCTGATATCTGTAATTTAGTTTTCAACTAGCAGATTACAGCCCTCACTGAGTGATGAATGATGAGCTTCTTTGCAGCCTGCTTTGGGAGGAAAGATTGTGGTTCCTCCTGAACTGTTACTTTCTTGCCTCACAGGTGAGCCGCTAGGGCAGGTGGTGGGAGGAAAAGCTCCAACACTGGTGACGAATATTTGATAAATTGGTTTGTTCCTGTAGCGCTCTTTTTGCTCATCTTGGGATCTCAGCATTTGTATGTCATCTGTAGATGAATGCTTGCTCAGTCAGAGCTTGAACGATAAGAGCACCTTCCTGCTTCATTCCGTTTTAGGATTCTGAAGGGAAATAGACTTGTTGTGCAACTAGTAAAGGTATGGGAAGAGTTTCTGTGACTGAACTGAGGCGGGGTGGAATCACGGCTACCACTCACTTCTGGGTGCTGAGATCACCAAATGCCCATTGAGCCCACGTGCTCTGTTTGGGCTCTAGCCGCAGCTGCTGCAGGGAAGCGAGAGAGGTCTAAATACACACATAGTTTGTGCAGGCAAGAACTTAGAGAAAGTAGTAGGCTATTGAATGTGGCAGGACTTAATTGCATACGGAGTTACGAGCTTGTAGGGATTTTGTTACGGGAAGGATCAGAAAGGGCGTCATAAAGAAAGTGACTTTTGAGGTGGACTTTGAAGGATCCAGGGGGATTTGGGTCATTCAGAATTAGCTGGAAAATGAAAAGCTAGAGCGAGCTGGTGGAACAGCACCCAGGTTAGTTAGCTGGGCAGTAGGTGACTAGAAATATTGACAGAAGCAGCTGGTTAAGGGTTAAATACTTTTCTGAGACAAGAAATCATAGGCTACCTAGTCTGGCTTTTGGTAGATTTCTGGGTTCTAAAGAATTGTTTTCACCTGATGAGTTTGTCTTGTTCTTTTAGTCAGCCAGTTACAAAAATCAGTGCCTAATTTATTTTAAGGACAGTGAAAAGTTGTTGATTGTAATTCATGTTTGGTGTTAACAATCAGAAAATTGAATTTGCTGACTGTGGCTATTCCAGTGCCTTTGTTTACTTTTAAGGAGCAGGTCTCTGCCATTCTGGCTACAACCAAGTAATAAATGGCAAACTCTTCAGCTATTTTCTGAGTGCTTTTAATGACATCTAGTTCACTTTACAGAGATGTTTATTTCTCTTACTAACATTGTTGAAGAAACCTTTGAAGCCATTGAAACAGGATGCCTTATAATTGCTCTGGAACATCAAGACTAGCCTCAGGATCTCATTGGCTTCAACCGCAGCCTTTTTTTCCCCCTTGAGATATAATTGACATATGTTACCTTAGTTTCATGTGTACAGCATAATGATTATATGCTTGTATGTATTGCAAAATGATCGCCACAATAAGTCCAGTTAAATTCACCATACATAGTTACAGAATATTTTTCTGGGAAAGCAAACTTTTTCGTCAACCTTTAAATATACAATACAGTATTATTAACAAAAGTCACCATGCCCTACCTGACATCCCAATGACTTCTTTTATAACTGAAGGTTTGGTGCCTTTTGATTCCCATGTTGGTACCCCTGTCCCCCACCCCCACCACCTCTGGCTGCCACCAGTCTCTGTATGTATGAGCTTGTGTTGCTCTGAAGGAGGGGTTTGGTTTTTTTGATTCCACATATAAGTGAAATATGGTATTTGTCATTGTCTAACTTTTTTTTACTTAGCAAAAGCCCATCATGGGCCTTTTTTGTTGTTACAAATGGCAAGATTTCATTCTTTTTTATGACTGAATTGTATATACACACCACATCCTTAGCCTTTCTTTAAACACACTTGGCACTACACCATCTTACCTTTTTAATACTTCTTTTCTACTCTTTCCTCCTGGTGCACTTCTTTATCTTCTTCTGACACAGCATGACAGAATAGAGATGCTAGATCTTTGGGGTGTTTTTGTCCTTGTTAATGTGCCACAGAATTCCATTGCCATGTAAGAGGGCTTATATTTTTTTACTATGAATTTCCATCCAGGATTTGTTTTGATAAATAGAAATCCTTAAATGATCTTTCCCAGGTACATACTGAATAAATTTGACAAGAGGTCTACACCTCCCTTTCTGTGTACAATTACATACCTAAGTTTTGTCCTGGGGACTATGTGACAGCCTTTGGTGATGATAGTTTGTTAAGTGCTGTCATTTGCCAGTTGGACTTTTGTGCTGTTTGGCTAGAGGTCCTGGCTTTAAAAAAATCTCCCAGTCTTTAAACTGAGTTTGGTTGTTGTAATATGATTTCATGATGAACTTCTAGTGTTCATTTAATCTTGTCATTGCTCATGGTTTGTTTTCTTAAATATCATTTGTTTAATTGAGCTATAATTGATATACTCTAGTTTCAGGTGTACAAGGAATGATTTGATATTCGTATATATTGCAAAATGATGATCACAGTAAGACTAGTTAACCTCCCTCACCACATGAGTTACAGTTTTTTCTTTTTTAAAATTAAATTTATTGTGGTACATTGATTCATAACATGAGTTTCAGGTGTATAATTTCATAATACATCATCTGTATATTGCATTGTGTGCTTACCACTTCAAGCCTAGTCTTCTTTCGTTACCATAATTTAACCCCATTTGCCCTCTTCAGCCTCCCCACTCCACTCTCCACTGGTAACCCCCATACTGTTGTTGGAGTCTGAGTTTGTTTGTTGCTTTCTGTTTTATATCCCATACATGAGTGAAACCACATGGTGCTTGTTCTTTACCATATGACTTATTTCACTTACCATAATGCTCTCAGTATCCATTCATTGTGTTGCAAATGGCAGTATTTCATCCTTTCTTATGGCCAAGTAGTATTCCCTCCTATACATGTAATACATCTTTATCTAGTCATCCATCAAATGGATGGATCAAATCACACTTAGCTGTGATTAATGCTTCAGTGAACATAAGGGTACATATATCTTTACGAATAAGTGTTTTCAAATTTTTCAGTAGATACCTGGAAGGGGGATTGTTGGGGCATATGATAGCTCTATTCTTAATTTTTTGAGGAAACTTTTTACTGTTTTCCATAGTAGTCATACCAGTATATATTCCCACCAGCAGTGTGTAAGAATTCCTTTTTCTCCATATCTTTTCCAGCACTTGTTATTTCTTGCCTTACTGATAGTAGCCATTCTAACAGTTGTGAGTTGGTATCTCACGTTGGTTTTGATTTGTATTTCCCTTGTAGTGAGTGAAATTGATCATCCTTTCATGTATTTGTTGGGCTTTTGTAAGTCTTCTTGGGAAAAATGCTCAGGTACTCTGCCCATTTTTTTAAAGCAAACATATCTTCAAGATTTTATTGTCATATTATAAAATACGAAGCTTAGAACTGGATCACTTGGCCCTTTTTCTTATTTCCTCTTAGTTCAAAATATTTGCATCTCTTAACAGCCTGTATTCTCTTAGATCTGCAGTTGGGCTTAATGCAGTCAAACCTCACCAGTTTTAGCCTTTTTTGTGGAAAATCAGCTTAGTCTGCCCAACATAACCACTTTGCTCCCTGTCATGCCCTGAGCATATAAAGAATCCTTGCCCTTCTGGTACTGTGTTTGTTTTTGAGGGTGGTGCTTGCCACACTTCTTACAGAGAGTCCGGAGGGTTTTCAGAAGGTTTTACCATGTTTGTGAGGGTGTTACTGGCTTGGAAAAAACCTCCGCCCATCTTTAAATTGGACTGTTTGTTTTATTGTTGAGTTGTATGAGTTCTTTATGTATTTTGGATATTAGCCACTTATCAGAGGTATTATTTGCAAATGCCTTATCCCATTCAGTTGGTTGCCTTTTTGTTTTTGTTGATGGTTTATTTTGCTGTGGAGAGGAAGCCTTTTAGTTTCATGTAGCTCCAGTCATTTATTTTTGCTAATACTTTCCTTGCCTTTGGTGTCAAATTCATAAAATCCTCTGAGATAAAGCTTCCTAAGTTTAGTACCTGTGATTTCTTCTATGAGTTTTATTATTTCAGGTCTTATATTTAGGTCTTTGATCCATTTTGAGTTATTTTTTATGTATGGTGTCAAATAGTAATCTAGTTTCATTCTTTTGCCTGTGGCTTTGCAATTTTCCCTGCACCATTTATTGAAGCTCCTTTCTTCATTGTATGTTTTAAGCTCCTTTGTCAAAAATTAATTGTCCATATACGGGTGGGTTTATTTTTGCACTCTCAATTCTGTTCTGTTGGTCAGTATGTCTGTTTTTCTGCCAGCACCATACTGTTTTTATTATTGTAGCTTTGTTTTGGGTTGGCCAAAAAGTCCTTTACATTTTTTCTGTAAAATAAAAGA